GTAGGTTAACTTATCCAAGATCACACAGCTCAAAAGTGATGGTACTGGTTCCTGAGAAGGCAAAAAGGGACCTATCCCTGTGCCTGCCACTGTTCAGTCCCTCCCCGTGTCCCCCCAGTACCCTCTGCAGAGGTCAATCCTACACTAACATCCAGGCCTGGCTCAGCTCATCCTCTCCAGGAAGCCTGCCCCACCACAGCACCCACTGGGTGACAGGAGACCCCACAGAAGAGAGAGGCTTAGCAGGAGATCAAAGAGGACGATGACAAGTGGTGCTATTGTATTTGAGGCTTCTGGCCTTTCTCCACTTGTACCCCCCGAAAAGGGATCACAGCCCTCTGCCTGGCAGGCGTTTCCCTCACAGCTGAGCTTCTCGAAACGGGCCTCAAACAATTCTGGTGCGGAGAGAGGTGAGTGTAGGTGGAATGATCTTCCTCAGCGACATGTAATTTTTTTTTTTTTTTTTTTTTTTTGAGACAAGGTCTCACTCTGCTGCCCAGGCTGGAGTACAGTGGCAAAATCATAGCCCACTACAGCCTCCAACTTCCAGGGTCCAGCGATCCTCCCACTTCAGCCTCCTGAGTAGCTGGGACTATAGGCACACACCACCATGCCCGGCTAATTTTTTATTTTTTGTAGAGACAGGACCTCATTATGATTCCCAGGCTGGTTTCGAACTCCTGGATGCAAGCGACCCTCCTTCCTTGGCCTCCCAAAGTGCTGGGATTACAGGCGTGAGCCACTGCACCCAGCTAGCAGCATGCAATTTGACATAGTTCCTTAAATTGAGATGAAAGTGGAATGTTTACAGAGGAGACGATGTGGGGATGTCCTAGATAAAACTGGAGCCCGCCAAGAGCTTGGACCCAACCAGTGGGGCTGTAGGGGCTCCTCAGTCATGGGGACATCAGCAGAAGAGCTTGCCAGGGCCAGGTCTGAAGGGCCCAGTCCATGTTGCAAAGCCAGGCCTCCCAGGCCGTCCACGCTCCAGCCTGGCCAGCCTGTCTGCCTCACCACGTCCCACTCATGACAGCCCATCCCTCCTCCTCACCTGGTCATGCACTCCAGGGTGGCCCCAGGGGAGGCAGATGTGGCATGGGCAATTCTTCCCATTTTACTGGGAAACTGAGGCCCAGGTAGGCAAGCCTGACTTGCTGGAGTCACACAGGAAGTTGGCAGTTCTGCTCCATCCCTGGGTCTGGAGCCCCTGCTCTGGGGAAGGAGAGGTGGGGCGCTGCCTTCCCAGAGTCCCCTCAAGCTGGCAGGGATGGCTGTACCCCCAGGGTCAGAGGAGAACTAAAAGGAGCGGAAGCTGGCCTGGGTCCGGGGAGAGCCCTTGTGTTTGCCCAAAAGGGAGCTGGAGAGGGGCGGCTCGGCCCATATGCAGGGAGGAGCTGTGGGGAGCAGCAAAGAGAAGTAGATTTGGTGGGTAGAGGGGCCCCCCCTTGGTTCTAGTCCTCCCCACAGCCCCTCCCAAACGGGCAGGGCTCTCCTGTCCCTTTCTCCTCTCCTGCAGCAAGCCCTATGGGAAGCAGCCTAGCTGGTGAGTGGCAGCTCAATCTCTGCTTAAATGCCTGCAGCGATGGGGAGTTCACTACCTTCCAAAGCTTTTAAAAAATGTTAACCACTGCTATTCAAGAACAATTCTAGAATTTTTTCTTTTGAAAGACAAGGTCTCATTCTGTCTCGCAGGCTAGAGTGCAGTGGTGTGATCACAGCTCACTGCCGCTTTGACTTCCTGGGCTCAAGCGATCCTCCCTCCTCAGCCTCCCGAGTACCTGAGACTACAGATGTACAGATGTGCAGCACCACACTGGCTCATTGTTTTCTCTTTTTGTAGAGACAGGGTCTCACTATGTTGCCCAGGCTGGTCTCCTGGCTTCAAGCAATCCTCCTGCCTTGGCCTCCCAAAGTGCTGGAATTACAGGCATGAGCCACTGCATCTGGCGGTTTTTTGTTTGTTTGTTTTTGGGAGAGTCTTGCTCTGTCACCCAGGCTAGAGTGCAGTGGTGTGATCTTGGTTCATTGCAACCTCTGCATCCCCCAGGTTCAAGCGATTCTCCTGCCTCAAGCTCCCAAGTAGCTGGGATTACAGGCGTCTGCCACCATGCCTGGCTAATTTTTTGTATTTTTTGGTGGAGACAGGGTCTCAGCATATTGGCCAGGCTAGTTTCGAACTCCCGACCTCAAGTGATCTACCCGCCTCAGCCTCCTAAAGTCCTGGGATTACAGGCTGAGCCACTGTGCCCGGTCCTGCTGTTGCTTCTGAGGTTTGAAAACCGCTGCCTCAATGCTCCTGACTCAGCTCTTCTTACCCAAAGTTTCCCCCACCTCATCTACTCTGTTCCTGCACAGTCACCCTTTCCTCCGGCGCCCTGGGCAGGTCTCTCTCTGCCAGCTCCACGCTTCTGAGAGGCCCCCAGCCTGCCTGCCACCCTGCCTGCAGTAAATACCACTCAGGTTTCACCTACTGAACATGGGCCCCTGGATGTGTCTCACAGGATCACAGATCCAGCCTTGGAGACCAGCACCACCATCACCCTTCCAGAACCTTCTGCCCTCTTCACACCCTGCTGCTGCCTCTAGATCCTAACCCCATCCCTCGTGGGGCCCAGCTGCCCATTGCCTGGGTTCAGACCTTCTCAACCCTCCCTGGCTTCTCTGCCCTATTTTTGCCTTCTCCAATCCACCCTCAGTGGGTGGAAGTACAGTTACCATGGTAACCTGAAGACAACGCAAATCTTATTGTATCATTACAATGACTGGAAAAACCGTCAGTGCCACAAAATAAAGTTCAAGTCACTAGCTTTGCAGTCCAGGCCCTTTACCATTCTGGCAGCATTTTTGGGGGCTATTCTCCTTCCCCCTACTGCACAACCCTGCCTGGCCACCCCAGGCTCAGGCTGCAGAACAGCATAGACCAGGGAATGGCTTTGGCCTCTTGCTAACTACCTGGTTTTTGTCTCTTTCAGGCTGTTTGCTCAGTTGCAAAATGGGAAAGACAACAGCACCCGCCTCACAGGCTAAGCGTCTAAGAAGCTGTGTGTGAAAAGCCCGCAGCACAGGGTCTGGCACGCGTGGACATGCGAGATGGGAGGAGGGGATTTCTCAGCTCCTCATCTCTGCAGGGACTGGCCCCTGGCCTAAGGAACACCAGTTCTCCAAGGAGGGGGAGCTTTCCCTGACCCCCCGATGTGTGGCACGCAGAGGAGAGCGAGCTACTTCTGGAAGGGGAGTTGGGGGAAAGGGCAAGTTAGTCTTTACTGAGGGTGGCAGTGAGGTGGCACTTTGGTCTCACCTTGGCTGCAGAAACCCATCCTGCTCCTGTCTTATTTCCTGGGGATTTCAGCTGTGTGCAGGCACAGATGCATCTCCCAAGTGCCCCACACGTGCCTTGACCTCCTCTCCTCCCTCTGGCCAGTACTGAACCTCTTGGTGATCCACGATGGCACCTCTGTGTCCTACATCCTTCTCTGGCCGTCTCCTTCCCTCCTTCCAGCCCTCCCTCTAGGACCCTGACCCCAACCGTCCTTCATCCCCATGAGGACATTCAGTCCACTGTCCCTCCCCTATCCCTCCCTGAGAGAAGGAGCAGGCAGAGAGGATCTTGCATGAGGCTTCAGCAACCCTCTTCCACCCATCCTGTTTCTTTCTTCTTCTTCTTTCTTTTTTTTTTTTTTTTCCAGAAAAATAGAGATGGGGTCTTGCTATGTGGCTGGTCTCAAACTCCTGGGCTCAAGTGATCCTCCTGCCTCAGCCTCCCAAAGTGCTGGATTATAGGCATGAGCCACCACACCCAGCTTCATTCCTTTTCTAAGTAGGGTACTCCTTTTCTTGCCATTCCCCCCATCCTCCTTCCTCTCCCACCACTCACCTCCCTCTCTACTGAATATGCTGAAGATCATGCAGCTGCTGTTCCTACCTCTAAAACCCTCTCTTGGCTGGGTGTGGTGGGTCACATATGTAATCCCAGCACTTTGGGAGGCTGAGGCGGGTGGATCATTTGAGGTCAGGAGTTTGACACCAGCCTGGCCAACTTGGTGAAACCCCATCTCTACTAAAAAATACAAAAAATAGTTGGACGTGATGGCACATGCCTGTAATCCCAGCTACTCAGGAGGCTGAGGCAGGAGAATCGCTTGAACCCGGGAGACAGAGGTTGCAGTGAGCTGAGATCATGCCACTGCACTACAGCCTGGGTGATAGAGCAAGACTCTGCCACCTCCCTTCACCAAAAATATAAAGCCCTCTGCATCCATTCCACTCTCCACTCTTGTTCATTCTCTCCTGCCCTCTAAACGGTGATCTGTCCTTGGCAGATTCAATCACTTGTCTTTCTCATTCTCTCCTGAGTCCACTATTCCACTCTGGTCCCTACCTCTTCCCCCAAAACTGCTCTGAACCATCCCACTGCAACTTGTTGCTTAGCCCCTCCATCTAGTCTCAGGCATTAGGACTGACCTCCCAGCAGAGGCTGGTGCAACCGATCACCTCCTGTAGTAAGTTTCTCTCTGGGCTTCACTTGCGGGCTTTCCTGTCTCTCTCTCTCTCTCTTTTTTTTTTTTTTTTTTTTTGAGACAGAGTCTTGCTCTGTTGCCCTGTTGCCAGGCTGGAGTGCTGTGGCACAATCTCAGCTCACTGCAACCTCTGCCTCCCGGGTCCAAGCGATTCTCCTGCCTCAGGCTCCCAAGTAGCTGGGATTACAGGCACGCGCCACCACGCCCGGCTAATTTTTGTATTTTTAGTAGAGACGGGGGTTTCACCATGTTGGTCAGGATGGTCTCGTTCTCCTGACCTTGTGATCCATCCGCCTCGGCCTCCCAAAGTGCTGGGATTACAGGCGTGAACCACTGCACCTGGCCCTCCATACATTTTTGATGTACAAATAAATGAACCCAGAGGATTAACTATGAGTCTAAAGGTTTACATAGGCAGGACCTGTGTAATAGCTGCTGGTAGCCAGGAGGGGACAGCAAAGAGCCACCCAGTGTGGATGAGACCAGAGCGGTGGTGGGGAAAGAGGGTGCGGCCACAACCCACTTCAGGAACCAACACCAAGCCCTAGGCTAGTGGGAGACCCTGCCCTGGGTTCTGAAGTATAATAAAATGGTAAAGACTTAGGTTCAAATCTCTGCCACACTATGCTGTGTGGCCTTGAGAAAGCTGCTTAATATCTCTGAGCCTCAGTCCCCTCCAGTAAGTCCGGCTACTCGGGGAGATGACATGGTAACGTGAGTGGGCTTTGTAACCAGCAAATCGTAAGTGTGATGGGGTCAGGCGTGGTGGCTCACACCTGTAATCCCAGCACTTTGGGAGGCCAAGGCGGGTGGATCGCCTGAGGTCAGGAGTTCATGACCAGCCTGGCCAACACAGCAAAACTCTGTCTCTACTAAAAATACAAAAATTAGCCTGGCGTGGTGATGGGTGCCTGTAATCCCAGCTACTTGGGAGGCTGAGGCAGGAGAATCACTTGAACTCAGGAGGTGGAGGTTGCAGCGAGTTGAGATCACACGATTGCACTCCAGCCTGGGCGACAGAGCGAGACTCCGTCTCAAAAAAAAGTGTGACGTGAGTGTTAGGTGTCTGTGGTGTGAGCGGCTGCTCAGATGTCCATAACTGGGGCACAGGGTAGTTACATAACCATGATACAGGCTAAAGAAGAAACAGAGCTTTTTAAAGACCTGGGAACATGTTTATGTTTTAAGGTTAAGTGTGTAAATTTATAGAAAGAAGAACAGTGAGATGTAAAATTAATAAGCTTGGGGGGAAATCTGGAAGAAATGTATCATCAAAATGAACAGCCATCTGGGTTGTTAGATTTCTGTATTTTCCAAATTTATACCATGGGCATATATTTGCATATCTCTTTAGGGTGTGTGTGTGTGTGTGTTTTAGAGACAGGGTCTCACTCTGTCACTCAGACTGAAGTGAGGTGATGTGATCATTGTGATCACAGCTCACTGCAGCCTCAAACTCCTGGGCTCAAGTGACCCTCCTGCCTCAGCCTCCTGAGTACCTGGGACTACAGGGACACACCACCACCCACCGCCATGCCCAGATAATTAAAAAAAAAATTTTTTTTTTAGAGGTGGGGTCTTGCTATGCTGCCCAAGCTGATCTCCAACTTCTGGCTTCAAGCAATCCTCCTGCATTGGCCTCCCAAAGCGCTGGGATTACAGGCATGAGCTATCATGCCCGGCCCCCTGTAGGTTTTTATGACTTACTAGAATGTTCTTCGGATGGAATATTATAGCAGCTACCTGGGTAGAGGGTCTCTCCTGCCTTAGTCACCACCACTTTTTCCCAGCATATCCTGAACAGCCCCCATTAGCTGTCCTGGGTTTTCTTTTTTCTTTTCTTTTTTGCGACCAAGTTACACTCTGCCATTCAGGCTGCAGTGCAGTGGCGCGTCTCTCAGTTCACTGCAACCTCCGCCTCCCAGGTTCAAGTGATTCTCTTTTCTCAGCCTCCCAAGTAGCTGGGATTACAGGCATGCACCACCATGCCTGGCTAATTTTTGTGTTTTTAGTAGAGTCAGGGTTTCACCATGTTGCCCAGGCGGGTCTCAAACTCCTGACCTTACGTGATCCACCCGCCTCGGCCTCCCAAAGTGCTGGGATTACAGGCATGAGCCACCACACCTGGCAGTCTCTCTAATTTAATTCAGTGCCACTGTAGGCAGGTGGGGTGTGGCTTGGCTGGGCATTATAGAGCTACCAGCTACAAATGGTGTTCAGCCCCTGGGATCAAGTGTGGGTTGTCTCAGCCCCTTGCAGGCAGGGCTAGAGTTCCTTCTGGTACAAATTGGGGGACCCAGCTCCCCCATCCCTCTGCAACCCCAGGCCCCCCACCAGGTCCCCTCCAGTTCAGCCTGGTGCCTTCCAGCACCCCTGGCCCCTAGAAATCCCTGGCCCACGGCTCCCTTGACCTGAGGCCTGAAATTCACCCACTGCCCTCTGAGGCTTGGTCCAAGTCCAAGTATGCCTTCCTCTCCAGCCAGACGCCTGCTCACCACTCAGCATGTCAGAGCAGGCAGGGCCTCTAGACTGTAATGGAGAAACTGAGGCACTGAGGGCAGATGTGATATCCCCAGTTAGGAAAACATTAAAGACATTCTGGGCTTCTCTCTCTCTCTCTCTTTTTTTTTTTTTTTTTTTTTTTTTTTTTTTTTTTTTAGAGACAAGATCTCACTCTGTCATGCATGCTGGAATCATGGCTCACTGCAGCCTCCAACTCTTAGGCTCAAGGGATCCTCCCACCTCAGCCTCCCGAGTAGCTGGGAATACAGTCGTTCATCCCTACCGTGTCTGGCTAAGTTTTAAAAATGTCTTTACAGGATGGGATCTTTCTCTGTCGCCCAGGCTGGTCTCAAACTCCTGGGCTCAAGTGATTTTTCCCATCTTGGCCTTCCAAAATGCTGGGAATATAGGTATGAGCCACCACGTCTGGTCTGAGTCATCTCTTTTGACCCAGAACAAAACCAGCCCAGGAGTGGCTGTACTCTCACCCTACACTGGGGAGGCCCACAGCTTCAGGGTGCAGTGGAGCTCTTGCAATTTAACGACTGATTCATCTTCAAAAAAGCACAATCTCAACCAGGCGTGGTGGCTCACACCTGTAATTCCAGCACTTTGGGAGGCTGAGGCGGGCTGATCACCTGAGGTCAGAAGTTTGAGATGGCCAACATAGTGAAACCCCGTCTCTACTAAAAATACAAAAATTAGCCGAGTGTCATGGTGCACACCTATAATTCCAACTACTCGGGAGGCTAAGGCAGGCGAATCACTTGAACTCGGGAGGTGGAGGTTGCGGTGAGCCGAGATCACACCACTGCACTCTAGCCTGGGCGACAAGAAGCAAAACTCCATCTGAAAACAATAAAACAAAACAAAACAAAACAGAAAAAGCATAATCTCTTTCAGAATTTTCACCTTCTCATGGTGGTTCTGTTAGGAAAGGCTTCCATGGGAGCCTTCAGTAAGTGACCTAAAAAAAATCTCAGAGCCATTCTTTTTTTTTTTTCAGATGGCGTCATGCTGTGTCACCCAGGCTGGAGTGCAGTTGCACAATCTCAGTTCACCGCAACCTCCACCTCCCGGGCTCAAGCCATCCTCCCACTTCGGCTTCCTGAGTAGCTGAGACTACAGGTGCGTGCCACCGTGCCTGGCTAATTTTTAAATTTTTTGTAGAGACGGGGTCTTGTTATGTTGCCCAGGCTGGCCTCAAACTCTTGGCCTCAAGTGATCCTCCTACCTTGGCCTCCCAAAGTGCTGGGATTACAGGGGTGAGCCACTGTTCCTGGTTTAGAGCCATTCTTCTTTTTTGGTGGTTCTGAGACGGAGTTTCACTCTTGTTGCTCAGGCTGGAGTGCAATGGCGCGATCTCGGTTCACTGCAACGTCCGCCTTCTGGTTTCAAGCGATTCTCCTGCCTCGGCCTCCCAAGCACCTGGGATTACAGGCACCTGCTACCATGCCCAGCTAATTTTTTTGTATTTTTAGTAGAGACGGGGTTTCACCATGTTGGCCAGGCTAGTCTCGAACTCCTGATCTTGTGATCTGCCCGCCTCGGCCTCCCAAAGTGCTGGAATTACAGGCATGAGCCACCGCGCCTGGCCCTAGAGCCATTCTTAACAGGGTTTGTCCCCCTGGAAACTTCCCGAAGCCTCACCCTCCTGGGAATTCCCTGCTGGGTGCCACAGTCATCTCTTCACTGCTCGGTTTCCACTCTCCCATCCTTGCACCGACATCCGGCTGTTAGGCCTTCTTCAAGCATGGACCTTCTCATGCTCAGTCTCTCTGTGGTGTGGAAATGTCTACTGGGTGGGCCTCACAGAAGGTTCCAGGCCCTGGCGCAAGCCCAAGGGAAATGATGATCCAAAATGGACTCAGATAAAGTTTCTGCCACTATGCATTGGGGGCTTTTGGTAGGAGTCCAGTTCAATTTTAGAAAAATAAAAATACATGTCTCGCACTTCTGAGTGTGCAGACTAAGGTCCATTCTGTATTTGCAAACGAGGACAAAAAGAAAGGCGGTTGGGTGCGGTGGCTCACCCCTGTAATCCCAACACTTTGGGAGGTCAAGATGGGCGGATCACTTGAGGCTGGCCAGGAGTTCGAGACCAGCTTGGCCAACCAGCTTGGCCTTTCACCATGTTAGGGTGCCTAAAAATACAAAAAATCAGCCGGATGCTGTGGCACATGCCTGTAATCCCAACTACTCAGGAGGCTGAGGCAGGAGAATCGTTTGAACCTGGGAGGCGGAAGTTGCAGCGAGCCGAGATCATGCCACTGCACTCCAGCCTGGCCAACAAGAGCTAAACTGCATCTCCGAAAAAAAAAAGAAAGAAAAAGAAAAAGAAAAAAGGCAACTGGGGGAAAACAGTCTTCCCAGCTCACCTGGCACTGCCCGTCTTTTTCCATATTCAGATCACATGGCGAGGCAGGTGTACTTGTCTGTCTTAGTGATAAGGAAGTGAAGGCTCAGATTCCCACAGCTAGTCAGGTGGGTACAGGCACTTGAACGAGACGGCGCTTTCCCACGGCCCATATGCTGCCTGGGACCCTGAAGGCTGACTCCTGGGCACTGCCCCAGCCACCTGCCTCTCTACAGACTATGTGCCACCCCTCCACCTGCCCTGGGACACCTGCCTCCAGATGAAGGGGCCTGCTATTGCCTCTGCCTCCCCCAGCAGACCCCAGCTTCCACTCCAATTCACCTTGGAACTGCCGGTGCTGGCCCAGGCCAGGCTTTGGGGACCGTGCGAGGGAGGGCTTGAGAAAAGCCCATGCTTGTGCAGGAGTAGCCCTCTGTGACCTCTGGTGAACCCTTGGAGACTCCCAGGAGCCTGGACGTGTTCCCAGCCCAGCATGACTAGAGGCATGAGTAAGTATGGAGCTGGTTCTCCAGGCGGCTACCTGGCTTGGGTGCCAATGCCATCCCTGAGGGCTGGGGCCATGGCCACCTGCTAGCCCTGGGACACACAGTATTAACACGTCACTCACACTGAGCCTCAGTTTCCCCCTCTGTAAGGTGGGCTCTAGCGTCTACCTCCTAGGTGTGAAGCCTAAATGAGATGCCTCCTCTGTCTGCACTCCGCTGTAACCCTGGTTCCTAGAACACCGCCTTGCCCCAGCAGGACCTCCTGAAATACGTGTGAAAGGCACCCGCATACAGCACCCAGTGCAGGGCCAGAAACCCAGTGACCTCTCAGCTGGGTGCCCACCAGAGCCACACTCACTGCATTGTGCTGCTGCAGCTTCCACTGTCTCTACCTTTCCAACATCACCTGACCATTCTGCCCCTCTGAGAGATCCGGAAACACACTTCTGGCATCCAGTGACCCCCCAACCCCTGCCGTTCACCCCGCCAAACACAGCCCACCCTCCTCTCTGCCTCTCAAAGTCCCATCTTCCCCTGAGGCCCAAGCACAGCCTTCCTTACTCCAGGAAGCCCTCTCCAACTACCCCTCACCCTCCTGATCCCCCTTCTGGGGGTTCCCATGGCCTGTCGGCAGCCGCCACATCACTGTACCCTAAGTACTTTTTTTTTTTTTTGAGACAGAGTCTCGCCCTGTTGCCCAGGCTGGAGTGCAGTGGTGCGATCTTGGCTCACTGCAACCTCTGCCTCCTGGGTTCAAGTGATTCTCCTGCCTCAGCCTCCCAAGTAGCTGGGATTACAGCTGCGTACCACCACGCCTGGCTAATTTTTGGATTATAAGTAGACACAGGGTTTTACCATGTTGGTCAGGCTGGTCTCGAACTCCTGACCTCAAGTGATCCTCCTGCCTTGGCCTCCCAAAGTGCTGGGATTACGGGTGTGAGCCACAATGCCTGGCCCACCCTGGAGGCTCTGGCCAGTCCTTAGTGCTCACCACGTGGCATGTTTCCCTGGAGGGACAGCCTCTGCAAATCTGGGTTTGGGAGGCCAGGGCACAACCCATGGTGGACATGGAGGTGGATGGGTGGCTTAAAAAGGGTCAGGAGGCTGGGCATGGTGGCTTATGCCTGTCATACCAGCACTTTGGGAGGCCAAGGCAGGAGGATCACTTGAGGCCAGGAGTTTGAGACCAGCCTTGCCAACATGGTGAAACCCCATCTCTACTAAAAATACAAAAATTAGCCGGCCATGGTGGCATGTGCCTATAATCCCAGCTACTCAGGAGGCTGAGGCAGGAGAATCGTTTGAACCTGGGAGATGGAGGTTGCAGTGAGCGGAGATTGTGCCACTGTACTCCAGCCTGGGCAACAAAGTGAGACTTGGTCTCAAAAAAAAAAGAAAAAAAAAATATATATATATATATACACACATACACACATATAAAACACAAAAAAAGGGTCAGGAGAGGCACTGCACTGTTGAAGGCGGGGTAGACACCCCCCACATCTTACCACCACGCTTGCAGTTCCCATGGAGACACCCCTCCTTCTGTGGTTAGGAACCCACTCACCGACAACCTCATCTATTCACTAAGGTCAACCAGACCCCCTTTATCAGGAGTGGGCACACTGACCTGGCCTGACCCCTCCCTCCTGAACCCAGACTGGGTAAAACTTAGAAATCACTGGTACCACCACTCCTTTCTCTTCCCCAGGATGTGGGGCCACATTCAAGCTTAGCCTTCCTCCATCTACCTGGGTCAGGCGCCCAGGTGAGGTGGCTAAACAGAAGGGCAGGGGCGTAGGCCGGGCACGGTGGCGCACGCCTGTAATCCCAACACTTTGGGAGGCTGAGGTAGGTGGATCACTTGAGGTCAGGAGTTGGAAACCAGCCTGGCCAACATGGTGAAACCTTGTCTCTACTAAAAATACAAAAAATAGCCAGGCGTGGTGACAGTTGCCTGTAATCCCAGCTACTCAGGAGGCTGAGGCAGGAGAATCGCTTGAATCCGGGAGGTGGAGGTTACAGTGAGCTGAGATCACACCACTGCTCTCCAGCCTGGTTGACAGAAAAGAACTCTGCTGCAGAAAAAAAAAAAAGAAAGGCAGGGGCCTGGCTTCTGTTCCCAGCCCCCAGAACCTGTGCCCCACAGCAGGCTTAGCTCCAGCCCCCAGCACCATGACTGGGCCCTATTCCCAGTGCCCCTCCACAGCCAGTGCCTCTTACCAGGCTTTGGGATGAGTCCTTGGAAAGGCCTAGAAGAGAAACAGAGGCAGGGGTGTCATGGGGAGGGCCTGGAGGATGAGGAAGACACCCCTGGGATGCACTGGCCTCGGTCTCTCCTGGGAGCACCCCAGACCTACGGCAGCAGAAGCTGCATTTTAACAAGCTGCCCTGGGGTTCTGTGTGTGCAGGACACTGAGACAATGTGGCAGGGTGCTGGCATTGGCAGTGTCACTCTGCAGGACGCAGACCTGGGCCTTGTGCAGGCTCTGCCCTGGCTGGCCCTGGGACCTTGGGCAAATCCCTCTGATGGGGGCTGAATGCCTTTCCCGGAGGCTGGGGGTGCAGTGAGCAGGTGTTGCTGAACAGGTTGAAGATGCCCTTGAAGGCTGCCCTTGCCATGGTGGGGTGACCAGTCCCACTTCTGAAGGGTTCCCTGCACTCGGGCTGGCCTGCAGTCCCTTTCTGGCCACCCCCAGGACCCAGGATGGTGCCAGGAGAGCCACATTGTCCAGTAGGGAGAGCAGGACCTAGGGAAAGGCTAAGGATTCGCAGGTATAAGCCTCCATCTGAGCTAGTCCCGCCTCTTCACCCTCATCCTTCCCCCTGAGTACCTGGTGACTGTGAACTTGATCTTGTCGGCCACGGCAAGAATCCTCTCCAGGTTCTGGGAGCCGAAAGTGCAGGGCTTTCGGAACGGGATTCCCGGGGGCAGCCCCTCAATGATCACGGAGCAGGGTTACTCTTGATCCGCTTGTAGGGGACCTGGACCGGGTACTTGATACCCAAGACTTCCCCTGTGGGTGAGAGGCAGGGTCCTGCCCAACAGGAGTGAGAGGCAGCGTGGGGTGTGTGTACATGGGATTGCAGGAGTGTGATGGAAAGACATGCGTGCAGGAGAGTGAATGGCACGAGAAAGGTCTCGGGTAGCACCGTGGAAAGGTATAGGCATTACAATCTGAGCTATTTGATCAGAACATTAAAAAAAGGCCA